GAGAGGGCTCCTGGCTGAGGAGAGGGCTCTGGCTGAGGAGAGGGCTCCTGGCTGAGGAGAGGGCTCCTGGCTGAGGAGAGGGCTCTGGCTGAGGAGAGGGCTCTGGCTGAGGAGAGGGCTCCTGGCTGAGGAGAGGGCTCCTGGCTGAGGAGAGGGCTCCTGGCTGAGAAGAGGGCTCTGGCTGAGGAGAGGGCTCTGACTGAGAAGAGGGCTCCATTGTAAGAGCACTTGCCAAACATGTATGGGTACCAGCGTTTGGATCCCCATGCCTACATCAGCAATCAGTAGACATGTGAACACTTAGACAAATGTCAAGATGACTTGGTAACTCAGAAAGAAATGCCATTGACCTCTAACATGTGCTGGTCCATTTTGCCCCTGCCTCTCCCCTTCTCCACAAATCTCCCCACAGAACACGCACACTGTTGAGCCCTGTCATTTGGGGACTGTCATCCTCCTCACTGTAGCCTCTGGTCCACATCACTCTCGCTCTCATCCTAACTCTCTTCTTATTCTGCAATGGAAGTTCTCGAAGCGCAGTGTGCATCATGCTCTTCGAATCTCTGTTTGGGCTCCCCTTCTCTAGCTGGAGCAAAGGCAGAAGAATGGTGTCGCGCATTCCCAGGTATGCATGCGTTGTTAGCCCAAGGCTGTGCTTGGGACGCATTTTGAAAGCAAATGTAAAAACGTCGTTCTTTGTTCAGTAGTGAAGTGTAAGCCCAAGCTGACTTTTCAGCTCTGGGCTTGTGATAAACGCAAAGCAGACTAAATCTTTACAACTTCACTACCCTGCTGGACTGCCTTCTACGAGAGTCTGGTTTTCAATATGGGGGAAAAAGTCAAACAGCACTCACCACTGCTTATGGTATCCCAAAATACAAGCAAATGTTGACATGATCCTGTGTGTGAAATGTAAGTAAGTTGTTTTGATAACATGGGGACTTTCCATGTCAGCCTGTGCACCCTGCCACTGGCTTCAACATCAGACACCCAGAGATTGTGCTTTCTCCGGGGCAGCCTGTAACTTAAGAGAAACTAAGCACAGTATGTGCAGTTCATGAGAAAGCATTGTGAAAAGGGTAACGACGAAAGTGCCGTAAAGGTTTAAACGAAGGTCTATGTGAGGATCATCACCACACCGGACAACTGCTGCATCCGACAGGGTGGGTGACAAGGGGTGGCAATCCTCTGCAAGCTAAGGATGTATGATGTGAGCGGTCTTGTCCCTTCAAACATCACGGAAGGCATACATGCACAAGGCAGGCGTCAAGATAGGTCTTTAAACCTCATCTTAGTATTGGTTGGTGAGTTTCATGGGGCCGCTGATTGCTAGCTTGACCTTGTCTAGCAGGACACCTCTTCCCGGCATCTCTCTGTTGTCACTTGATGCTGGTGCTGTTGTCACCCCACAGTCGATAGACTGGAGACTGATTTTGATGGCACTAGAATCAATCATCATTCAGACCTTCTCGGCTGCTGCTTCTGCGTTTGAAGTTTTAGTTCACTGAAACAAGAGGGACAAACGACGTTTGCAGATAGCTTTAAAACACACAAACTGTCCGTCATTTTCACTCTGATCAACTACTTAGGGGAAAAAAATCACGCTGAGTTCATATATCATTGTTTAAATGTTAAAGTTCATTTTTAATTTCGTTGACTAGAAGGATGGACAGAATTTATGAGTCTGGACTGTTTTAACTAATTTGAAAGAATTTTTCTCTTACAGAAGGTGAACATATTAAAAGGAAAGGCTTGTTTTCATAATTATTAGGAAGAAGATAGTCTATTTTAATCACATGTGATAGATAAGCAATTATTTTAATTTTTTGAAAAATAAAATAGCATGTCATCGGTAAGGTTAGATGCAAGAATTCTGAAGCCCACTAGGTTTTCTCATTATTCAGTGTTCTTACGACCTCAGTAATTTCCCCCAGCCGGAGTCCCTTAGTTTCTCTATAAACTGGAAATCATAATTAGTTCTACCATAAAGATTAAACTTAGGCATGTAAGACTCTTTAAAATGCTTGACATAAGCTATCCAGTTATTATTATAGCCTAACAAATGGGATATAAATATAATGTTTTTTTACTACCACGTTTGAATTTAATTTCCACATATAGAACCAGAACCCAAGTAACGTAATGCATCTCATAAGATCAAAAGCTAAGGATGAAGCTCTGTTTGCATCTGGTTAAATTACATTAATACAGTTCTTCTTTTCAAATGAACTAATAATTTCTCATCACCCAAGTTAACATTTAAATATAAGACACAGTATTTTACTTCAAGTATTTATATTGACATGCCATCTTTAGGAAGAGTGTAGTGTATTTTCACAAGGGCATTTCAATGAGGGGCTTATGTTGAGCACACTGTTTCTTACTCTCTTGCTTGCAAAGGTGACCAACAGCAAAGGGAGGGGCCTCCCAGGGCCTCCATTGGTCACTCTGGCATCATTGAACACTATGACACACCTCACAGTTGTGTGCGTTTGTCTGAAAAATCCTGACACTTCCTCTCAGGTTTTAGGAGTAGATTAGACTCATGGCTGAGGTGGCCCTTTTGTGCTTCTGAAAGCGGAGTAGCCGGGGTTCATCTCCTATCAGAGGGAAGAGAAACCCGTAGCCACGTTATACATGTGGCAACAGCAATCTCAGGAAGAGACTGGAGCTAAGACTCTTGACTGGAGGCTCACCTAGCTCTCCCCAGTAAGGCATTCACCATGCAAATGAGCAATAGAGTCCCAGACTGGTCTGTTAGCCGCCCACTAAAGGGATTACCGGTGCCGATGGCTGAAAGGTCATCTGACAGGTGGCTTGGAAACGAGGTGGAGTCCTGTGTGAAGTAGCTGCGATGCTTAATGAATTTTCTTTGAGCTTTCCCTGCTGCGGCACCTGAATTCAGAACCCTTGTGATACAGGTTAAACCTTTCAAAACCTCGCCTTCCAGTATGCAAGGTGTATAAAATGGGACGCTTCCTTTGCAAAGAGTTTCTGGTCTCTTGCATACCGTACCGCATGCAAGTATGGGAGCCATCTTCTCTGGGGATGACCTTCCAGAGAAAGGTGTGTGGTCCCCAGGCAGCTCAGTGTCCTTGTTTCTTTAGCTATCCATGCTTCAATGGGAGAGGCAGGCACACACGGGAGCACTTGGAGTGAAGCCTCAGTTGAGGTGTGTGTACTTTGACCATGGAGGCAGATGAAATGGAAAACCTTTGGCGAGCAATGAATATAAATGCTTTTTGCCACGTTCTGTGTTGTGATGCTGTGTGCTGCGGGCTGTTCATGAGAAGCCATTCTTTCGAGTTTCCTGTGTGAAGTATGCAGTTCTCTGACTCAGAGGAGACTGTGTGTGCCGTTTCTCTGTGTGCTTATACTTATGCATGGTTTTAAATGAATAACGCCAAAAGTGGGCATGCAGTTTCCTTCCAGGGGCTTGCAATGACTGTATAATGTATGCTAAACCAGATAGCATTAGAAACTAAATGGTTTGTATACACGTATTCCCTCAGAATTTAAGAGGTATGTTCTGTGATGGGGAGAAAGGGAAATTCCTTGGGATTAGGCTATCTGGGGTTCAGGATTGCAATTTAGAAGGTTTTGTTGGCTTGTGTTTCTCCCTCCTCTTCCTCACTCTTTCTCCCTCCCCTCTTTCTTTTCCTATTGTGCTTCTTCACACGCCCCAGCCCACCCAGCAAACTGGTATTTCTCCTACAGCTAATATCCCTGTTCCCACCAACATCTGTTAGTTCAAAATGATGTTAACACACAACGATTATGCTGATAATTATTTCCAAAGATAGACATGACAAGATTTTAGCCAAGTAATTGAGTATACTTAAGGTAGCCAATATTACCCTTACTTTTAAAAGAATGAGGTATCCGTGTCGTTTGTCACACGGTTGTTAAATTTGTTACAACTCTTGCACAGACGATGCAGCGGGCATAGTGTGTGATCTTATATATTCTATTTACACACACTTGCTCGTGTTTTAAAGGAGACCTTCCGTGCCGTACAAGTGAGAAATACAATCAGAGTGAAACTCACAAAACTGGATGACACAGTTTTGCTCATAACAGCACTCTTTGCCTTGTGGGAACTTAAGGGACTCTGGACATAAGTGATGGCCCCAGGGGGAAACCCTTAAGCAAGAAAACTGTTTATCATGCCAGCTTCATTCCTTTTAAAAATGCCTGAAATATCTTTGACACAAAATATACTCTGCACATTACAAATGTCACAAATTTGTGCTTGAAATTTGGGAGAGAAAAGATATGCCTGAAATTTGGGAGAGAAAAGATAAGAGAATACAAAAATACAAAGTTTTTGAACAAAGAATAGAGTCCCTCATGGGCAGATAATTACAAAGAAGCAAAACTTGAGGCAACTGGTTAACAGGGCACTTGATGCCACAAGTGAAATCTCAGGGGAGGGGCCAGAGACCAGGCTTCACGGAGCTCTGTGGGGAAAGCTTCCACAGACGCAGAAACAGTCTTAAAATGGTCCCGCCCAGTGTCCAAGTCTCCAGTGTCGCGGGGCTGTTGTGAAAGATTGAGAGGGACAGGGGCACCGAGGGAGACCCGGTGTCATTTAGGGGGCAATGAAGAGGAGTCAGCTGACGATAAAGACAAGGTACACGTATACGTGATTTGTTCAAACATTCCCGCGTCACCAGGAAGTTGAATGCAGTTGATAGCTCCATCTAATATTCGTGCTGAAACCTTCAACCGAAGCCAGGACAGTGGGGCTACACTGCCGTTGAGTTTAAGAACTTGTCGTCTTACTTTACGGCCTCCTAGTTGGGTTGTGCCTGTAAAACAATCCATGACTCACCCTGAGCTGCCTTGCAAAGTGAAGACAGCGTCTTTAAGTTTCTGTTTGCTCCTTGTGGCAGTTCATGCCTTTATACGTCTACAGATTAAGCCACAGAGCTGCTTCTCCCCTGAAGGCAACTTACTAAATTTTAAGTCACCCACCCCATCTTTGCTTTCTCTTCCAGGAAGTCGACGGCAATAAAGTTATGTCTTCATTAGCCCCATACAACTCATCTACCTCACCTCAGAAGGCAGAAGAAGGTGGGCGACAGAGTGGCGAGTCCGTGTCTAGCACAGCTCTGGGCACTCCAGAGCGGCGCAAGGGCAGCTTAGCGGACGTGGTGGACACCTTAAAGCAGAGGAAGATGGAGGAACTGATCAAGAATGAGCCGGAAGGTAAAGGCTGGGAAAGAAACCGTGCCATGCCCTTCCTGCTTTAAGCAGTTTGATTTAGCTTCTAGTTCTGATGTGCAGTTTAGATTCTTAAGTTGAACGAAATAGAAACCTGTGGCTATGAAGATTATCCTTCCTTCCATCCCTCCTTTCCTTCCATCCCTCCTTTCCTTCCATCCCTCCCTTCCTTCCATCCCTCCCTTCCTTCCATCCCTCCCTTCCTTCCATCCCTCCCTTCCTTCCCTCCCTTCTTTTCTCCCTCCCTCCTTCCTCCCTTCCCTCCTTCCTTCCTTCCTTTCTTCCTTCCCTCCCTCCTCTCCCTTCCTCCCTCCCTCCCTTCCTTCCTTCTTTCCTTCCTCCCTCCCTCCCTCCCTCCCTCCTTCCTTCCTTTCTTCTCAGAGATACTAAGATTTTTTTAAATCATAAATTCATGTGGCAGTGAGCCTTATTTTTATACATGAGTAAGTTATACTTGAGTGAAACTTAAAGATTCAAGAATAGAATGTCACAGCATTGCCCAGAAGATCCTCCTACTTGTCACGTATCTGCAGCCTGCACTGTACATGTCTAGTAAATTTTCCCCCTCAAGAACCGTTTTAGAATGGTGTTACATTTGTAACCTTTAAACAGTATTCTATCTTATCCCACCTTGATCTTAGGTCCATCACTTATATAGATCATTAAAAAATGTGATTATAGTTACTTAGAATAACCCCAGTCAGCCTCCCATTTTTGGACATTTTGAATACTTTCCTTTTGAGTTCCAGCTCTAAAACTCTTTCATAGCTACCGATGGCCTCCTGAACTTGATAAGTATGTGTGCAAGGGTTTTCTTAAAAATAAAACAAACCGGGGCTGGAGAGATGGCTCAGAGGTTAAGAGCATTGACTGCTCTTCCAGAGGTCCTGAGTTCAATTCCCAGCAACCACATGGTGGCTCACAACCATCTACAATTCAATCTGGTGCCCTCTTCTGGTATGTAGGCAGAACACTGTATAAGTAATAAATAAATAAATAAATCTTTAAAAAAAAATAAAACAAACCAAGAAAAAAAAAAAAACCCTTGCTAACCTGTCCAAGGTTAAACCCAGATGGTGACTTGTTCAAGTTTTACCCGGCTGGGAAGCAGAATCTACTCAGCACACAAGAGTGGCTCTCTTCATCAGCCGCACGTTTCAAGTGAGCGAACCAACAAACACACTGGGGAGAAGACGCACCCTGATGATAAGTCTTGTCCCACGTGCAACGTGTGATAGCCAATGCATTTTCAGGTCCCGGGGAGCATCATGGGAAGCTGTTGCTTGACTTTGTATGGCACTGCCAAACTGTCTGCCAAGTGTCCACAAAATTTTCCTTCCTGCTGTCACCAAAGGGAGGTTCCTGCTTGTTCAAGTCCCTCTCGGCCTTTGGCACTGTTGAGTTTGGGGATTCCTGTTCATTCACACAGCTATGCAGTACTATCTCGTTGTGGGTTTACTTTATAGTTCCCCAGTGACACTGATGTTCAGATCTCTTCATACATTTATTTTACATCTCTGTGTCTTTGGGGGAAGTGTCTTTTCAGTGCTTTTGTTCATTGATTGAGTTATTCTGATATAGATGAATTTTGAGAGAACTCTATATATTTTGGGTACCAGTTTTGAATCAGGAATGTACTGACAAACGTTTTCTCCCAGTCTGTGGTTAGTATTTTCATTCATTTTGCCAAAAAGAAATGATTAATTTTAATGGATTCCAAGTTGTCATTTTGTTCACGAATTATACTTTTCATTTGTGAAAGTGGTCGTGGAGAGTCTAAGAAAGTTTTCGTACACTATATTCTATACCTATGTAATTTCACATTATATACTTTAGATATGGGAACCCTTTTGAGTTAATCTTTTAAAGGTTAGACTTTGTGTCTGATTCCTTTAGTTTTTGTATAATCAGAGTTTCTAGTTGTTCAGCACAGTTTACTGAAAGATGATCCCTATTTACTGAATGCTTGGCTCATTGCAAAAGTGGGTGACTGGGCTACTGTGTGTTTTCTTCTGCATTCTGTGTTCTGAACCATCAAATCCTTAGACTCTCCATTCCGTGATACCATGCTTTCTTAATGACCATGACTTGCTTTGGATAGTGTCATTCTTCCAGTTTTCTTCCTTTTCTTTGGGATTTTATGGCTTAGTCTGAGTCTATTTTCTTTCTCCACAAACTCTGAATTCAGTTTTCCTACATCCAAAGAATAACGTGGATTTGATGAGAACGGATTGTGTCTATAGATTACAGAATAAAGATGCTATATCTTAAGAACATTGACTGTACTCATCCACGAGCACAAAAATCTCTCTCAGTTCCCAGATACATGTCTTAGATATATTTTACTAAATTTTTGTTTGTTTATTATCTTTTTACATAAGAAGAAAAATAAACAATAATCATGCTATCATTAGTTTCAAATTTTAATTGCTAGCTGACAATCTATAGAAAGTCCATGTACCCTCCTAGGAACCTATGGCCTCAGAGTCAGTTCCAGCAGTTTTTGTGAACTCTGTGAGATTATCTACGTGGACAAGCATTTCGTTCACAAAACGACAGTTCCATTTACTTCACCCCCACTACAGGTTTTATTATTTCTCTTTCTTCTTACATGTTGGGACGTCTGGTAGGAGATCAGTTAGGAGTGGGGAGAGGGGACGCCATTGCTGTGTTCTTGATTCTAAGAGCCAGGCTTCTTCACCCACCATGGAAGGATGTTTGCTGTAGGATTTCTCAGATGATGTCATCAAGACCTTTTTTCCCTGGAGTTTAAATTTTACCTGTTAATGTAATATATGCACAATCGTTGATATTTAAATTCGCAGGGAGATTTTCCAACACTGAACCACCTAGCAAAGTTGTAATAACTCCAACTGGGCCACACTTAGTTCATTTGAGATTTTACTTCCTTTCGCTTTGTTGAAGGTGTTTACATCTAGGTCCACGCAGTCCATTAGTTCACAATTTGTACGTTTCTGATGTTAACACGGACTTCATAGAAGGGGTTGGGAAATGTTTACCTTGTGTGGTAATTTAAAAAAAAAGTCACACCTTTTGATATAGTCTGAGTGCAAGGGTAAGGGCTAAGGAGTCTCAGTTTTCTCTGTGTATTCTGTTCCAGAGAGGGCGTCTTCAGACGATACTATTAAGGGAAGCTATGTGCATGGCACTGTCATTCCTCCACTGAATCTGGTTGGCTAATGGTAGACGCATGACCCCTGGGAGTAGATGACAAGCGTAAACCCAACGAATAAGTCTCTGTGGGGAAGACATGGGCAGGAGGTGCCCACGGGTACTCGACGAAAGATACAGGGGAGCCCTGGGATGGTAGGAGCTGCTGCTTGGGCGGAAGAGCAAAGGAGGATGGGTGTTTTTAGCAGGAAGGGTTGGCACTACTGTACGTGAAGGCTTTCCTTGCTGTGTCTCTAATGCCCTTCAATATATATTTCTTCCTCTTTTTTTTTTTTTTTTTGGTTTTACGAGACAGGGTTTCTGTATTGTTTTGGAGGCTGTGGGTCCAGCCCGGTCTCTAACTCACAGAGATCTGCCTGCCTCTGCCTCCTGAGTGCTGGGATTACAGGCGTGCGCCACCGACGCCTGGCTATTTTTTCCTCTTAAAAACTTAAATGCTCAGAGGAGGAGGGATGCGTCATTAATCATGTCTGTGAGAATGTAAACTGAACAAGGCCAGAACTGAGAAGTCCGTGTTTGGGCTAGAGAGGAGGCTCAGCTGGGTAAGAACGCCTGCTGTGCAGACATGGGAACCTGCCACCCAGAAGTCACCGTTTCCCCCACACTGGGTGGAGCCACACGTGTGCCTGTAACCCCAGTGCTGAAGGGGACGTGGGTAAGAAGGTACTTGGGGTCTGTGGCCGCCAGCCTAGCTTCTGTTTCAAGGGAGGTAGGACAGAGAGTGAAAGTCTGGTGCTGTCCTCTTCGGGACTCTGTGCATCCAAGGGCAGCAAAGCCGCGTGTGCACACACCATGCTCACACTCACCACACTCGCACATATACATGTGTACATACTGACACACGCAGACGCAGAGACTCACGGGCTCATTCCTGCCCCCTCCTGAGTTTCAGAAGCAATTTCTGTATGACAGAGCATGAAGAAGTCTTTCCACCCACACAGGCAAGCTCCGGGAGCTGGCTTTGAACATCCAGAGCCACAGACACACTCTTCCTGGTAACGTGCCCTGGTGACAGTGTGCATGCATTTTTAGATACTTTGTTATTCTGAGGCATGGTCTCCTATTTTAGTCTGTTTGCCTAGGCTCAGTATGCAACCCAGGCTGGCTTGACCTTCACAATGGTACTCCTGCCCTGGTGTCCTAAGTGCTGGGATTACAGGCACGAGTCCTCATGCAACTTTCAAGAATGCCATTCTGTGACTGAAACAACTGACAGGCTCATCAGGAAGTAATTTATATCTGAGTAATGCTGCGTTCTTATTCAGGAAGAAACAATACGGATTTCAAAGAGAAAATCATGCAAAAATTGCCAAGTAAGAGATCGTAGTTCTCCCAGAAATTCAAAGCTCTGCCTTGGAGTCATCACTGGTCAGAGGGTACTGGCATGTCTGAGACTGACCCTCATCCCTGTCTTCTCCCCTAGACACAAGGGACTGTGATGGTCTCTAGAGCACACACATATGAGCTGAGGCTCTCTCATTACCTAGATCAAAAAGGCACACTAGTAATCAGCCTGAAGGGGAACATGTAAAATGTGCTGGTTGGACAACTACAAGCCCTTGTTGCATCTTCGTGGAGACAGAAGCCATGGAGAGGTACAAGCCCTTGTTGCATCTTCATGGAGACAGAAGCCATGGAGAGGTACAAGCCCTTGTTGCATCTTCGTGGAGACAGAAGCCATGGAGAGGCACAAGCCCTTGTTGCATCTTCATGGAGACAGAAGCCATGGAGAGGCATTCGGAGCAGGGAGGAAACAGAGCTAAGTGCTAGGCGTGCCCGTACGTGCTTTCCCT